AGACAGCATCTCACTAGATTGCAAAGGTTGACCTTGAATTTACCATCCTCCTGCCTCAGCCTCCCTAGGAGTTGGGATGAGAGGTGTAAGACAACATGTCTGGCTGATTTCCCTGTTTAAAATGACGCTGAGCACGGTGCCGAAGTGCTGTTCTGGAGCTCAAGAGGGCTGTGAATCGTGCCTTACGGAGGAATTATGTGTGTTAGAGGAGCTTCATTCTGGCGTGAGTTGTGTGCCGCTGCTGGCCGGGAGTTCAGTGTAAACGAGTCGACAGCACACATTAAGATGTCTTTGAACAGACACAGACATCCAACAAGGTTATGAACTGATCAGTCGACAAACATGTTGTGGTCAGAGGCTCAGTGGACCCTAATCCCTCCTCCTCTTCCCTGGGAGGAGTGATTCATTATTCACTGATTCAGCGTTTGCTTTGACTTTATAGAACATACTAGCAAAAATGGAGGCAACTGACCAGATTTTGTTTCTCCATTCATCTGCTGGTAGAATCAAAGGTCGTATTTACCTTTGGGTATTGTGAATGCTGCAAACATGGGTGTTCAGATAGCCCTCCGAATATCCATTCCTCCTTTGGGTTCTTTTGGATACACACCTAGAACTAGAATCGCTGCACCATGGTCATTCTGTGCCTAACTGAGGACCCGCCAAACTGTTTTCCATGGCATTTTACATTCCAGTAGCAAAAGTACAGAGTTCCAATTTCTCCACGTCCTCCCAGCCCTTCTTTTTAATAATCGTTACGTAGTTATGAAGCGGTCTCTCGTTTGGGTTTTGATGTGCATTTCTCTGATGACCAATGAGGTTGGGCATCTTTCTGTATTTTCTGTGAGAGGCGTCCCGTCAAGACCCTTGCCCATTTTCAGTGGTGTTGCTTGTCTTTCTGTTGTTGGTTTGCAGGAGCTCTTTATATATTCTATAATTAAATCCTTACCAGATGTAGGATTTATGAGTAGCTTCTCTCCTCTGTGACTTGTCTTTTCACTCTCTTGAAAGTGTCTTTTGGTGCGCAAAAGTTCTTAATTTTAATGAAGTCCAACTTTTCGATTTTTCCTTTCGTTTGTCCTATCTTTTGGTGTCATCTGCTAGTTTTTAATTGTGTACACATGGCTGAGTGGAAGAGGTCCAAAGTACATAATTGTAAGAATTATTATTATTATTTTTAACAAATGAAGCTTAAGGAAAATACTTTCAAGTTGAAGGTTTCACTGGTACTTTCTTGGGAAAGTCACAGACTCTTTCTTGGTTGCTTTT